TTGCAGCTTTAATTGATGAAAATCGAAATCAAAGGAAGATAACTCAAATTTTATTTTGATACTCTTAAGTCTGACGACACATTCCTCAAACATCTGTTTTATCTCTTCATAATATACAACAAATTAATCATACACTGTAATCATCATTATCTTGCAATTTCTAAAATGTCTTGAAAGGTATTGGAGAAATGAATACAAGAACAACTGTGACATTGGCAATGCTAGTGATTTCTATAGGATTAAATTAGAAACACAATCCTCTGATATCTAGTACGGATGCCTGGTAAGGTATCCTAATTTTTTTTGTGAGGAAACTTTTTAAATAGCAATACTGCAATGAGAGATTTTTGAGAGATTTGATAAATTTTGAGGAACGAGTCGTCTGATCTTAATTGAAATGAAAACTTAATATGTTTTCTCTAATTGCCTTGGTTTTAGATATATAATGGAAGATATCATACAGCTATTTTATCTTTTCTCGTCCCTAGCTATAGTATATGCCTTCTGATGGTATCGACCCGCGCATGAGCAGATACCGATGGCTCGGGCTGAAACTAGGGACTAAATCAAAAAAGCAGTATGATAATATATTATTATCTTATGAGTCAAAATATACATGTATATCCACAAAAGCCCATCAACTTATTGTTTCGTATCTTATACCTTTTTAAATGCATTTAAAAGCACACAAACCGCGCAGGTATGTTAAGGCAGTACCCAGATCATATTTCGGCGAATTTAGACTTTTTTCGTAAAATGTAACATTGATAAATTGGAAAAACCATAGATAAAACATTTACTATTATTATCCATTGTATAGACGTCATTGAGTCTTAGGCTAAAAGAAGCACTCCACTACGACGTCTATAAATAGAAAAATTGCCTTAATGGAAAAGTGAAAAGTTCAACACTACCCCGGAGATAATTCATTTCTTTTAGTGAAAATAATTATGTAAAAACATCACTGGGCCATGAAAAGTGCTGCTGGAATCCTACTCTCCTGACACAGAAAAAAATATTCCAAAGTTTCGCATGAAACCTTACCAAATTTTTTACATTTTATACATACGATCAAGGAATTTTTATCAATTCATGATAACCACACGATTCTAGCAGCACTTTCCAAGTACTATAGACTACAAGCTTTCGATACAAACAAAAATTATATTTCAAAGTATGCGGCGTAGTGTTGAACTTTTGCATCTTTGTTGTTATAGAACGACAGAGGAACGGCTGATCGGGATTTCAAAGCACTGACTATGTTCATTATAAGAAAACATGATAAGAATATATCAGCGTACCTGATTCTTAATCTTTAATTCCTTATGAATCACACATAACATTCATGGTATATGCCTTTAAACTCCCATTTCATATATTTGTTTACATGAATTCTCATTTCACTCGGCAAATATTTGATCAATGGTTATGACGTCATGGGTTTGGTATTTAACTCCCGTGCTAAATAATTAGCTATTTATACCACCCAAAAACGACAAGATTTAGTTGTTATGTTTTGAATGATTCAATTCTTTTCTTGGATCTGAAATTAAACTTTAAAGATAGATATTAAGAAATCATTATTTCTATAGTTCACGTCATACAGCTTACTATGACGTCATATTGTGAAGGCAAGTAGGATATCTCTGGGTGTAGCCTTAACATACCCGCGCGTCCTTTAATTTAAATGTCTTATAAATACGCAAGTGAGTTAAGGTAGAACTCAGATCATTATTCGGGAAATTCACATTTTTTGGTAAAATGTAACATTTGTGAATCAGAAAAACCAAGGATAAAACATTTACTATTATCACACATTGCATAGACGTCAATGAGTCTCAGGCTAAAGGAAGCACTCAACTACGACGTCATCGCGTTACGTCTATAAACAGAAAAATGCCTCAACAAAAAGTGAAAAGTTAAACACTACCTACCAAGGGATAATTCATTTCTCTTGGTAAAAGTATTATGTAAAAAGAATCCCACTCTCCTATCACAGAAATAATTCTTTCACACTTTTGCAGAAAACTTTATCAAAGGTTTTACAATTTGTACATAGGATTGAAGAATTTTCAGCAATCAAGTCATCTACATGTACACGATTCCAGCAGCACTTTCCAAGTACTATGAAATGCATAATTTTTGAGATCGACAAAAATTATGCGTTGAAAGAATCCGACTAACATGAGTTCTGCTGATTTTACCGCCCTACATTGTTATCAAAATAGAAATTATGTGGTCATTCTGCGATATATAAATTTTGGTATAATTTAATTCTGATTGTAACACGCCATTTGATTGGATTAAAAATTTACTTTATACACACACATACGCACACACACACCCTCACACACACACACACACACACACACACACACACACACACACACACACACACACACACACACACACACACACATATATATATATATATATATATATATATATATATATATATATATATATATATATATATATATATATATATATATATATATATATATATATATATATATATATACTTCCACCACAGCCCGGGATTGAACTCTAGAAGTACGGAATCTGTCTCCTAGCTGTACAGGGACAGCGCACTAGACCGCTCGGCTATCGAGGCAAGTCAGAAAACGTGCTTTCGATGCCGATGGAATTCTCGCGGCGCCGCCCTACACTACACCGCCATTGAAAATGGAAGTGAGATACAGTTATCTGGACATTAGTTTTATTAGAGGATCGTTACCAATACACGTTGTAATGAAATTAATTTTTATTTATAAAGCACATTTTACAACAACTCTTAAACTAATATAACTGCCCTAAGTGAAGTTATTAATATAGAAAGCACAAAGAAATTCACTTTTATAAAGATACCCACTTCCGCCCCAGCCCAGGGTTGAACTCTCGACCTACGGAGTCTGTCTCCTAGCAGTACAGGAACAGCGCACTAGACGGCTTGGCTATCGAGGCAAGTCAAAAAACTTGCTTTTGATGTCGATGGAATTCTCGCGGCGCTGCCCTACACTACACCGCCATTGAGAATGGAAGTGAGATACAGTTATTTGAACATTAGTTTTATTAGAGGATCGTTACCAATACTCGTTGCAATGAAATTAATTTTCATTAATAAAGCACATTTTACAACAACTCTTAAACTAACATAAGTTGGATTCGAACTCACGACGTAAGGATCAACTCCTTACTCCGCGACTCTAGTGCGAACGCTTTAACTACTGCGCCACGCGGCGAATGTTTGAAAAGTGCTACTAACCTTATGAATTCTTGAAATGAAGTGATTATTTAATGTAGTTGACCAGCAAAATATTCAACACGTTGTCTAACAATCGTTGTAATTATATAGTAAAATCTATATAGATTCGCAACACTTTCCTCAAACTACAGATGGTGTTGAAAATATTTATCAATTCAACTTAGATTTAATTTACTTAATTATGCCCTAACTTACAATTTTGAAATTTATACATGACCTCAATTCTGCATGTATTTTTGCTAAAATCATGTGACAAGTCTAACAAAATCTAACCATCATATACAAGAAGTTTTAGCATTATTTCGTTTGTTTAATATTAGTAAGGTACTAAAAGGAGCCGCCCCTCCAGATAAAGAATGTATCTTTTGTCTTAAAAGAGCGCCGATATTTCCATGATGCATCTTAACTTTACTGCATAAAATGAAAAAAAAAATAAAAAATAAATGAGAAATATTAGAGCATTAAAATATCATAACACCATATGTCATTATATCAAATGACTGAGAGTTTATGCGTAAATGAAAAAAAAAAATAAAAAATAAAAAGTTAAAATGAAGGCGGACAAGTCTATCTCTGTTGTATAAAAAGTAGGTGAATTAACGCAAACATGAGTTCAGTTTGTAGCATTGCAAGAGAGCAAGGTAAGTTCTTTTATAATTGAAAATCCTTTAGTTCAATGTCGGCCACGGGAAAAAGGCATAATTGTATTGTACACATTTATTAATAACATAGTGTAATAAATAAAGTAAATGTAAAGACATGACTGTGAACTCTTCCATTTTATGTATAGTTTATTTATTTATATATTTCTTTCTTTCTTTATTTTTGCTTCTCATATATTTTAACTATGAAAAGGATAAAGCTGAAGGAATAAATTTTAGTTTTGTGTAACAAGCAGTGGTCGATTTCATAAATCCTTTAAACAATACAAATGGTGAAAAGCCAAAAAACACAGAACCCAATAAATGTTTCTTGTGATGAAAATTACATGATATAAAAAAATTAAAGAAATTTAAATGCAGACGCTCTAGATCTGATGCTATTTTAATCGAAAATATCCCAGTTCACAAGTAACGAAGCAACCCAGGGCTGTTTAAAGAGTTAAAAGAGAAAATTGCCTCTAGGGTTCGGTGACCAAGACTCTGCTGATTAAAGAGAACGAAACGTGTAGATTCTGTGAATTAGTACATGTATAGAGAGGTCCATATTGTTGACAACAAAGTGCATGTGTTAAAATCAAATGGTTAAATAAGAGAGGCTTTATACAGGAAAAACTAATTGTTTTTTTTTTTTTTTTTAGTTTGACGAAAGACAATGAAGTCAACTTGGTAAGTGTGATGCATTATTAAAAGAATGTACTCTGTACTCATTCAATTAATTTACGGCAATCCCGATTTATTCGCATAAATAAATCAATAAATAAATGAATAAATAAAATAAGTGAATGTTTTAAAAAAATGCTGTTATTGCCGTGTCTTATCCTAGCAATCATTTGAAGATTATCTACCATAAATCAAGAGTCTTACTGTTTATCACGTAAATTTTTAATTTGACTTCAATGCAGTTAGTATTTTTTTTGGCATAGTTTATTTACATAATGATAAGAATTCTTTTAACTTCTTATTTAATACCTGATTAAGGAATGAAAAAACAGGAAGAATATTTGTTTTACTTCTGTTTTACATAAAAAAAACCCTATCAGTTGTGGAATGGATCTCTTCATTTACAGGTTTTTTTTTCGCTCTAATCGTGTTTGGAATCTGTGCCAGTTTGCAAGGTTCAACTTTACGAGACAGTTCCGCAGTTGAAAATTCCAAGAGCGATTTTAAAAGGTTATGAATATAATGCAAAACAGTACAATATTTATTTTCTTGCTTTTCCTATGTTTTGAAATAATATTTTATATAGTTTATAGCTTATTTTATATAGCAATTATATATATATATATATATATATATATATATATATATATATATATATATATATATATATATATATATATATATATATATATATATATATATATATATATATATATATATATATATATATATATATAGTTTAAAATATACTCACGATACATCCTAGTTGAGCTTATATATTCATAGCAAGAAATATTAATAATTACATGTACAATTAACCGTAATACTCATGCTTTATATCTTTATTCAAATTCATTCAACATCACATCACTTTATATGTCCCCATTAATCCGTAATTGAATGTGGTTTTTGATTTACAGAGCTGGGGGTGTAAAGTTGACAAAATATGCATTGAGAAAGTTAGCAAGGAGTTTAAGACGCAGTGATTCACTGGCAAGATATGCTGTGAATCGGTTACAATATTGGTCTGGTGGACGTATCAGCGCTAGCAAAATTATTCAAGTCATAGATGGTGTAGCAGCTAGACTGAATCGGTATCAAACTGCAACCTGTGGATTTTTCGCAGATGTAGGAGTCTCCCTTGGTATTAATCGTAGTATTGCATATCAAATCTGCAACGTTGCTATCGATTTACTCGGATTAATTCTGTAAAAGCCCATTATAGAAATGAATAACCAAGCATCCTGACGATATTTTGTTGTTCTTTTCTTATAACGCTTAAAACGCAAATTTTGGATGAAAATAAGGATGATTGAGTGATGAAAAAAATGAATATTTAGGTGAGTTATTTGGTGCACGTGCTTATCAATTGTAATCAAAATCATGTATTAGAGGTAACATAGAAAGAAGAAAAATAATTCTTTAACAGAAAAAACGTAAGTAATTTTAATAACCCTTATACCCTGCTCGAGCGTAAAAAAAGATATGTCAAAAATGTCTTTGACATTACAGACAACACGCAAAATTTCAATGAAGAAAATAACAGTACAATTAAAAATGTTTGATCCATAATAGAAACCAATACATATTTATAAATATTATGCTTTCAACGTTAGCAAAACGTATATACATCTTATTACATCCGTTATAAACTTCTGTGGTGTTTTCTCCGCAAAATATCAAGAAATATGTCTAGTTTTAACTTTTAATGTTTTAAGGTAGCTAAAGACACCTGACCCCCCAAAAACCTCCAAATAGATTTTGTTGAAACTTTCACATGGCGCAAAGGAATATGTAATGAACATTAAGTGGAAATGTGAACATGGCATTGAGAGTTAATTACAGAATCAGGGGGTAATGAGTTACTTCTCCTTTACAGTCACTCCAAAAATTAATTTTACTCATAAAAAATTTATGATGCAATATGCATTCAATATTTAAAATAATTTTAAACAATTCTGATACTATAAACTTATTTTAGCAATGGATTGTCTGAAAAGAAATAAATAAGATAGAATATTGAGAATAAAACTTTATAAATTCAACAAATTTGTCTATTTTCTTGCACACAAATTTGACACCTTTTAAATTCTAAAAAAATCTGTCCAATAGAATTAATTTTGTATTTTTTATCATTATATGAAAGATTTGTCTTAAGCCATTCTTCACACAAAAATCTTGGTCATTTTGAGGACTAATAAAGATACCAATGGTCCACAATTACCCCATCCCACCATCCCTTGTTTTCCTCTTTTGAAAATAAGAATAATGATTGTTTAATATAAGTGTTACGTAAAAAATAGAAAAGCAAACTAGAAAAAAAAAACCAATTGAATCAGAAGTACAAAACAATTGATGATTAAATAATTAATAAAAATATGTATATTATATTTCAGTAATATATTACTTGAACAGAAATGTAATTTTAAAAAAAAAACACACACACATAGAAACTCTTCAGACTTAACAATTTTGATTACTTTTATGCAAACAAATTCTACATTTTATAATATAAGATCTACTAAAAAAATATCTGTTCAAATAGATTTTTAAATAATATTATTATGGGAAAGACTTGTCCAATACTATTCCTCACTCAAAAAACTTGGCCACATTGGGGGCTTATTTACTTAAGGTACCAAATGGTCCAATAACCACCCCTCCTTCCACCCCACCCATTCCATTTTCCAGAATTAAAAAAACATGTATGAATAAAAGTTTATGAATTGAGGTGCTTTAGATGACAAGTGCTAAACAATTTTTACAAAGAATGTACCTCAATTAAATTAATATTAAATTGGTTCTACAAAAACCTTATTTTATGTCAATTTTAGATTATTTTATGTAAGTTTTAAATTATTTTCAACTTGAATAGCAGTAGCGATTGAATAGAAGTATTCCGATCCTCCCAAGAAAACAAATATGACCATTATAATGAACTTGAAACACCAATATTATATGCATTTTATATTTTTTTCATTGCAATGTCAAAAAAAAAAAAAAAAAAAAAAAAAAAAAAAAAAAAAAAAAAAACTTTATTATTATCATGTCAAAAATATATACATCTTTATCAGAAAAAAAACCTTGGCCAAACTGAGACAAAAAAAAAAATCCATCTGACATAGCAATGCGCAATACACATAATTTTATTGCATAGAATATTAAGAATATCATTAAAAATATATGATCAGCACTCTTTCAAATTGATCAGAAGTAATTTCATTCAATCAAACATATATGAGCAGGTAGGATAATAACATTAGTCTAAAGAAAATATATTTAAACAGTGCATGTCCTTGACCTGAGACATACATAAATTATACATAAAAATTAAAAACAAAATGACAACGTAAGAACAGCCTGTTACTGCACTTGACATAAAACTTCACGCAGGACATTTTATATGAAAATGAAAATGAAGAGTCTACATGAATATGTGGAGCAGCTTATTAACAAACCTGACAAACACTCACAAAGTAGATAATGCATAAAAAAGAATAGTCTATATATTTAGCGGTCTTAACCGAACCTGACATATCACTTGCACAGTAGATTATGCATATTTTTTTTTTAAATAATAGTCTGCAGCAGCCTACATGTAGAACCGCACCTGACATTTACAAAACATCCATTTAGTACATTATACAAGAAAAATTAAAACATTCTACATGTGGAGCGGTCTATTACCACACCAGACATAACACTCACAGAGTAGATTATACATGAAAAAATGGGGAAAAAGTCTATGTGGAGTGGTATGTTACCACTTCAGATGTAACACCCAAACAAGAAATAATTTGAAATTGACAAGAAAAGTAGTTTATGTTAGATCAGCTTCATCAAGTGATTCTTCACCTGTTTTGGGGAAAATCATTCTTTAATCGATCAAGCTGCAGTAGTTGAATCATTATCTATAAACATGATAAATGTATATATATTCCTTTGTAAAACTTAAACTGGTCATAATGGCTCACCCCCATCCCACCCCCACCCCGTCATAATTTGAACAAATTTGACACAAGAGTACACAGCCTGATGCTTAAATGTAAATATGACTACTCATGGCTTTGCTGTTCTTGAAAAGAAGATTTTTCAGTTTTTCCTATATATTCTTATGTAAAACTTTGATCCCCCATCATGGCCCCACCCTATCCCCGGGGGTCATCATTTAAACAAACTTGAATCTACACTACCTGAGAATGCTTCCATATCAATATAATGCCCTGTTCACATGGAGAATTTAAATCGCAGTGGATTAATGCGAATAAACTAATGCCAATTAAATTGCGTTTTCACATGACAGCTAATGCTAAGTAACTAAAGCGAATTAAAATTTCTTTTCTATAGTAAGGCTCTATTCAGAAAGGTTAGCTATTATATGACGTCATTTGCAAATCAAAACACATTATGCAGAGTAGATCCATTTGACATAATATCATAGTGTCTGTACACCTTTTATAGATAGAACGTTCTATCGTTAAAATGATATTGTCCTACGGACCCGGTTTAACGATAGAATTCGTTCCGTGTATTGGCAATGTTGCAAAATAAACACGGGCGATAACTCGTACTCTATGAACAATCTAGAGAGTTCCGAATGTCAACATGGCGTTAAATTTGAAGCGAGGAAAAAACATTGAGAAATTGAGTTGAATTTTCGTATTTATATGGATTATTTTTTAGGTAAAAAGACATATACCATCTCAGAAAGGTTTGTTATGATTAATTTGGTTGTTATTTTCAGTGCAACTCCTTTTGTATTTTTCAAAATCATTTCGGAGTGGATTCACTCCGATTTGCTACATTGCAAGTATATGGGACGTATTCTAACTGTGGTGAGGGTTTGTCCTGAGACACAGTTTGATTATTCTAACTACACCTTTTAGTGATTAGGATAATTTTTCTTTTTTAATAAAAAAATAGCATAGATGCCTACAACATATATAACCATTGATATGTAACATGAAACTTATTTCTGGCGTTACACATGCGTCAGAATTTAATTCGAATTCGATTCGTTTAGCATTCACCTAGAGGTAAAGCAAAGTTATATAATGAGCAGTAAACTAATGCCAATTAAACTAATTTCCATAAAATTCTGCGTGTGAACTCGGTTCAAATTTTTCTTACAGTAACTTACCTGTAATTCGAATAACACTGAGTCTCTTTGTGTGAAAGGGCATGACTAAACAAGGCTTTGCTGTTCTTGGGAAGAAGTTTTTAAAAGATTTTTTCCTATATATTCCTATGTAAAACTTTGATCCATAATTGTGGCCTGACCCTCCCCCCGGGGGTCATATTTTGAACAAACTTGAATATACACTACCTGAAAATGCTTCCATATCAAAATGACTAATCATGGCTTTGCTGTTCTTGAGAAGAAGACAATGGTTATAAACAGTTTGACATTGCATTTTCTGAGAAAATGAAAATGACTGCGATTCTGGGGAGGAGATGGTCATTGTAATTCGGGATCGGATACCTTGTGTTACATGTACTATTATCCTATGGGTTAAAAATATTACAGAAACAAGTGCATATCCCCCGGGGTCATAAAACATCTTAGCCTAGTTAAATATGTTTATTGAATGAAAGTCAAGAAAAAAAAATGTGCCATCCAACATTTCATCATCAAACTGCTGTTATCTATAAATTAGGTCACATATAACTTTACTACATACATTTTTGCAGTTACGACCACAGGGGTTTGCTTCCAGAGTGTAAACAATGTTAATAAAAAAAGAAATATTTGTAGACCTACTAAGTTGTATCATCATGTTGGGTTTTAATATATATATATATTTAACATTTCTATTGTTTACATTCCGGGAACAAGCCTTATCTTGTGCGATATGAGAGGTCGAAGAAAAGAGTGAAAGACAAAATAGAGACAACAAGCCGGGGTCATGCTGCTAGTGGACTTTTATCCCTTGCCCGTCCTGAAGACCATGATAGTGATCCAGAGCCCATGGATGCAGCTCCCACTGCCCTCAGTTTAGTAGAAAAAGAGAACGAAAGGCTTAAGAAATCTATGGATGCACCGAAAGAGGAGATTGATCATCTGAAAACCAAGCTTAAGTCAACTGCATTCAAAGTGAAGTCCATCGAAAACAACGACACCAAAACAAACTTTTACACTGGATTACAGACATATGCCCTGTTCATGTTTTTCTTTAACTTTAAAAGTAATCATGTGTATGGAGGAACATAACTTTCCTTGCAAGAGGAATTGTTCATCACTTTGGTGAA